CTTCCTTGTCCATCTGTTCTGTCATCCCGGAGACACGAGTAACCCGGAAACCGAACTCGGTCGTCAGGCCTACGCCGCATCTCCTGGATGGCAAAAACGTCAGGAGAGTATTTATTAATTAGAAATAATATTTTATTTTCTTTATTCTTGCTGCTCCGGCAGTTCCATTGGAGTATGGGAGCCATTGGAAAAGGTAAGATTAAGGAGCTGAGACAGTTGGTCTTTGACATTGTTCGGTAGGGGGACGTCACTAAAACGACCCAAAAGATTGATGATGGTTGATAGAAGTAAAGATATTAGATTATCATTCGGCAATGAGGGGGTATTTGGCAATGTGCAACCATTTGAGAGTTGAGACCTAGGGGGCTTAACAATGTCCCTATGAGCTAGCTGATTAAATCCTGGACTAGAGGCAGGGAGGGGTTGATGTCTAGGAGTATATACTGTTTTGCGGTAGGGAATGGATTGCGGAGGACTGAGTTGCGGGGAAAGATGGTAGGGGGAAGCATAGTGAGCGGTTGGAGAGGGTTGGAAACCACGAATGTCCGCCCTTGCTGTATCAGCAAAAGATCTTCGGACTTGGGCAAATCTGGCAGATGCTTCAGAGTATGAAACATTATCCTGGGACATAGCTAGCTTAATATGTTTCTGTCTTATTTGTTCAGGGCATAAGGGATCTGTTGCTTTATGGCAACCAGAGCAGTAGAGACAAGTTGGAATTTCCTTGGTGCAAGATATATATATAGATTACATTTGCTGTTAATTGTCACTCTTTGCCTCTGGTCCAACTCTGACCTTTCTTATCATATGAACAAAAGACGGGCGGAATGTGGCTATCGTGCAGGTGGCAAATAACGATCCCACGTGGTACTTTAAAGACAACAATTGAAAAATTACTTTGATTGGATTTTTGCATGATTTTGCTGTAAATAAGTTTTAAATAAAGTTTTATTAATGCCTAATATTATTTTTTATCAAAACTCAATAGTCAAGAACAATTCAGGATAAGAAATGTTCCAATTTTGCAAACATACTTTTTTAGTAAAATTTACTCCGTTTGCACATTAATAGCAATAATTTCATATTTACATTAGATACAATGAGAAATGATATCATTTTGAAATCCTCATTAAACCTACATTATTTTAAAGTACTTGGCCACACAGGTTATCATACTTTTTTTTTATACAGAAGGCGCGTAAACTTCGTAAAAAATAAATTATTTCTCTGAAAAATGAAGTTAAACTTTTTTTTAAAAAAATGCACATTACTTAATCATACCATTTACTGCTTAAGTAAGGACACAGTTACCGTAGAGTATTATGACACCAAAAAACCAAATAAATTCATTCATTTGTAGTCATAGTGCACCAAAACCTAAAATAAGATAAAAATAATTAACTTTTAAGAAAAAAAAACTTTCCTTAGGTACTACATGGGATAGATTTTTTTTTTGCATTTTTTTGGAACAGTCTTAAGCTGTGCTATAAGCCATTTCAGTATGATACATTCATTACCGGACACCCTATATATATATTTTAATGACATTACAAAAATATAATTTGAGAGCTCATGTTATTTTCTTTTTTTTAGAAACATTGTAGGAAGTTTTATTTAGCGGGAAATAAAAAATAAAATCGAGTTCTTAGGTTTTCGCGATTGTTATACATAGGAATGAAACTATTTTTCCGGATTTAAATCGCGTATATTTGTTTTTTCAAACAAACCGACGTTTCGGGCCCTTTACAGGTCCCATGGTCACGGTTGACTCAAAAAAAATAAATAAATAAAATCGTTTAGTAAAACAAAGTTAGGCGTCGTTTTCGTTCAGTAACAAACTTTTGACCGGTGTCAGCGTGGAAAATTATCATGGAGGATGGAGAAAGAAATAAAATTATACGAAAGATAATGGGAGAATACGGGAAGAATGAAGAATATTCATTTTTCTTAAAAATTAAGACTGATCAGAAATGAGAATTTTTCGCCGACTCACATTGTTGGGGCAGAAAATTATGAAATGAATGTGGTCGAGCAGAGGCTATTCGGGGCTGGTTACAGATTTATGTTATTAAGTTTTAGAAATTTGTATAAAGTGAATACTAGTGGAGAGTGTGCGTTGGCTAGGAAATAGTTGATATTTATTGGGCGAGGAATATTTTCGGGAAGCAAATCGTAAAGTGGGAAGCTTATTAGGGGGCAGTTAAAAAAAAAGTGTTCTAGAGTGCCTTCCTCTAGTCCACATTCGCAGAGGGAGTGATCACGTACTTTAATTTTGGCTAGGAAAACCGGGGAGCAAACGTGACCCAGTCTCAGCCGGATAATCATTGATGAATAGGGTTTAGGTATGTGTTTGAAGCGGAAGAACCAAGGTTTGAGTGGAATATTTGGTTGGAGATAGCCAAAGTGTTTACCTTTTAGTAGGAGCGATTTTTGGAAAGTTTCATCCCAGCTCCTGAACAATATTGGTTTGGCCGAACAACGTAGATCTCGGGAGAAGCAGCCTGAGTGGTCCGGCAAGCCAGATGAGATAGCATCCTTTGCAAACCTATCAGCAGTTTCATTGCCGCCTATCCCTTTGTGTCCAGGGATCCAGGCTAAGGCTACGTCGATATTAGATGAATGACAGTCAAATAATAGTTCTTTAATTTGAAGGGTGATATGGAAGTTATTTCTTGAGTGGAATGGTAACTTGATAATATTTTGCAGGCAGCTATGGCAGTCTGAGAAAATTATCGTCTTATTTAGTCGGTGTGCCTTCACGTACAAGATGGCTTCCAGAATGGCGATAGATTCACCAGTGTACACAGTTGAGATAGGAGAGCATTTAAAGCTTAATAGAACACTGTACTTTGGGATCTGTAATTGGTCTGTAAAGATGGTGAGCCAGTCGTACCAGTTATTGTTTAAGATCTTTGAAAATTCGTAGTTAGCATTGACAGTCCTTTACAAACACCAAAGTTGAGGATTACACGTGCTTGGAAGGTTAGCGCTTCAAAAGGGATCTGAAATAGGGGGTTTTTGGGGATTTTCACAATAAGGGAAGGGAGGTTTTTCAAGATATTTAAGCTTTTAATTATTCTTATTATTATTATTTAATTATTCTTTTAATTATTCTTATTACAGATTGAATTTATGTTTGATCATTTGACAGTGACGTTGGCGTTTCGTTACGTGTGCACTTCAGTTTAAGTTTATTAAATTTTTCAATCTGTGTCTTTTGGGTTTGTTGAAATTTAAATGCTGATCGTTTGTTTGTAATTTCAGTGCATTTATTAAATTCAGATCTGCTTAACTTTACCTCCCATTCTTTCGATAATTCCGTAATGGGAACATGGGACATGTAAAGGGCCCGAAACGTCGGTTTGTTTGAAAAAACAAATATACGCGATTTAAATCCGGAAAAATAGTTTCATTTCCTACCAAATATAATTACCACGGATTTATATATTTCATAAACTGGATCGTGCACTTCGATTTACCAATATTATAAACTTATACCTTATTGGGTTATGTTAAGGTTTATTTTAAATAAAAATAAAAAACCGAGATACGTGAGATAGCTCGAAGTAGTGGTCAGTCCTTGTCTAACAAGTTGCCAAGGCTAAATAAAATAATTTTAGGTAGTGTCTAGTGTATTAACTTTTTTAATTTTGGTTATTGACCTACCAACTTTTGGTTAAATAAAATTAGCTTAAAGGTAATATGCTTTTACTGTAATAATACAAAAAATATATATCAACAATCGATCGCACAAGTGGCGATGCGATGCACGAGGCGAATAGCGAAGTGACCGTTTACACACGCGTGTCGTGCATCGCATCGCCTATCGCACGAATGTGTGAGCGCGTTTTGAGATGGAAAAAAATAATATAAGGGCTCTTCAGAGTTCAGAGCACCTCGTGAACGATTTGTTCCGCACGTGTTCTGCACGTCACATTTTTTCAAAAATGAGATATCATGTGTTACACATAATACCTCATTTTTGAAAAAAATGTGACGTGCAGAACACGTGCGGAACAAATTGTTCACGTGGAGCTCTAAACTCTGAGATGAAATTATAGTCCAAAAATGTAAACAAACAACTGTCACTGTCAAAGTGACATCTCATACATCATAGACCTTTTTCCGGTTCCACTCTTCATATTACGAGTCTGGCATTCTGCGAATGTGGCTTTCTGCTAATCTGACATTCTGCTCATTCGGCATTTTGCGTTTCTGGCATAAAGCGTCAAAACGGCAGTAATTATAATAGAAAAAATATCGTTTTGGGTTAAACGACATTTTATTTTATTTTATTCAATGAACAAAGTTTCAACAGCATTCTTATACTTATTTGACAAATGTGTTTAAGCAGTACAAAAGCCAATTACAGAAACTCACTATGTATACAAACATAAAGAACTACTGAAATCATTATGTGACGTAAAATATTTTCAATCGAGAAATGACGACGAAATTAGAAGGGCCACGGCCCACAGAAAATTACCCCATATCCCAGATATTTTTTAGATCGGAATAAATTCTTAACTGCCTCCGTTGCCGAATGGTAACCATGCTGGTCTGCCATGCAGAGATATCGGGTTCGATTCCCAGCCTGAGAGAAGTATAAATATTGTAATGGAATTCGATTTCATATTAGAGTTTACTACTGCTAAAAAACTTGTTTTTATAATAAACGTGGCGTTCGTTCCACACTGTTTCACAGATATTCCTAATCAGGGGGTACAGAAAGCACGTCAAGCGTAACACTTAAGATTTAAATCCAACTCTATGCCGCTTACGATAAGAACGGTTCAAAGTATATAGTGTTAAGCTTGACGTGTTTTTGACTGTCTTGGTCAAATTCTGCTACGTTAGGTTGTTCGTTTAATACGTCATTAGGAACGAATGAGCGGTTTCATTTGAACAAACGAGTGACTGTTTTGTAATATTCTGTGTCTGTGACCCGTGTATGTACTTGACGTTTCGGGTTTCGACGTGCTGAAGGAGAATTGACAGAAAAGACGGAAAGAAAATTGCACACTGCCTACCGCGCGTGCTTGTCGCGTTTTGGATTTAATTTTTATCGTTCCAAATTTCGGATGACTTGTGACGAAAATAGTGTAGTGAAAATGACATTGTTAATTCGGTAAACCCATAAGCAAATCCTACTTTTCAAACTACAATCTGGTTATATTTTGTGTTGTGTCAGTATTGATAGAGTATTATGAACTTTGAGGACTATGAAACCCTACCGACCCAGAACCCCATCACCCATATGACGGCCGGCGCCATCGCGGGCGTGATGGAGCACTGCATCATGTATCCGCTGGACTCGGTGAAGGTGAGCCCTAACCTTCAACGCAGCAGCGCTAGTTACGCCACTGTCGGTTGCTGCGGCTGGCGCCTCCCGGTTATGTAAACATGTCTATCGTGGTCGCTCCGAGTAGGATCGGATCTTCATTTTGCGGCTGTTCTCCGGCGTCCTCAACATCTCTGTGTTGGACGTTTCATGCCAATGTCATTTGCGCAATTGTAAGTCGATTTTTTCCCATAACCGCTACTCTTCTTGCTACTGGTAATACACACACCGCTTCATCACAAAGTGATCTTGTTGGCTGCATTTCTGGTAAGCAATTGTGCAGCATTGACTAAATACTGGAGTTTAAAAGTTTCTCTATTGTGTAAATTAATTATTTATTAAGCTTACAAATATGAAGATAACAAGCCAGGCCACTCATACGCCTTCTGACTCGTGTGGGCTTGTTACAGAAGAGGACATAAAAAACGTGTTAGTACATTTACCAACCGCTGTGTTATTTATAAGCAGTGATGTGACCTTGAAGGCAAATGTTTTTTTGTGCATTTATTGATGATGACACAACACTTGCCTTGAGCATTACAATAATACAGGTAGCCTTTTCAAGTGGTCAAAGAGCTTGAACAAAATATTAATACTTTAGTGTGTGCTGCATATGGCCCTCATTTTAGTTTACTCAAAATTAATTATGTAGTAAAAGAAACTTTGAAGACTTCAATAATAAATATACTTGTGTGCAATTCTGCTTACCTGCTAAAATATGAGGAAGAGAAAGGAAGTTGAGATGATTGTATAATCTAGAACAATAACAAATAGTCTGGTTGTAGGGAATATCTAGACAAGAGTCTAGAAATAAGAGGTCTGTATTATTTAAAATATGTGAAAGTCGGCATTAACTGAAGTTTTGGCATTAATTGCCTTTATGTAAATTGTACAATTTCGTAAAAAATAAATACAAATATGATAAACACGCTGTATTGATTTTTTCATTTAACATATTTGGTTTGTATAGTATATTACTGCGCCTCTATTAATTTATTGTATGATTAAAACAATGCTATTTATGAACAGTTTATATATAACATATTGAAATGTTCAAAACCCTATGATCTTTTATAAAGCTTGTGCATTTGTATATTGTCTATATGGTAATGAAATGATATATTATACAGTGATTTTGTAGAATGAGGTATTCTATCATATCATAACAAACAGCACAAAAACCTAATGTTCCTAAAAGTTTAATAGGTGCTTGGTTCCAATAAAGTTTGAGTTAAAATTTTTGTAGTAAGTCAAAGAATTATTTATAGATTTACTTTCAGATATCAGATAATCATTTAATGTAACAGTTTTGCTTTTAATGCATTAAAAATTGTGCAAATTTAGTGTATCAAAATTTTCATTGCTACTCTCAATATGTTGTTAAAAGAATGGGGATTTTCTTGCGATAAATAGATAAAGATAACAAATATCATTTAAATTTAATTACCAAATTCGAATTATCTACTTATTCTTACAAGATGGACTATTGTGACACTTGGACGTGCATAAAATATTCTTTTTAAGTTATTGAGTAATAATTTTTATTATAACATTGCTTTGCGCACCTACATTTAACAAATCCCTGGACATTGTGTACAATACCTAGACCAAGTTTATAATTGAGTTTTCATACTTTGACTGACTGTTTAAGGCATTGTAAATGAATGTATGTCTGTCTGCGAAGTGTGCCCAGTCACATATGAACTACAACCTCTTTAATAATTACACTCTACAGATTCACGGCCTGTACCCCTTTTTTTAAATACTTTTTTTAATGTAAAACTGCTTGATCAAAATAGGAACTGATGCTAAGCGACAATGGGCCCATGTTGTTGTGTGAAGTGTTGCCCTCAACAACCCCAAATTGTAGCTTTTAGGTATTGGCTATGAATTCCACTCCTTTACCACATGCACCAGGAAATATTAGGCAAAGTGCTTTGTAGGTGGTAAGTCAATGACATAAGTATTGAGTGGTTTGGATTTCTAATAGTCCGAGGGACGAATGGTAAGGTTGAAACAAAATTGTAAAGTTCTTCCTATGGATAACAGATAAGTTGGCCATTTTTCTTATGATATGGGGTCCTTCAAACGAGGCGTGAAGAGGCATATTGTACAGGCAGGGTGGAGGTGGCTAGTGCAGTCAGGATTTCATCGCTGCACTAGGTTCCTTCGCGTTTGGATACCACTTTCCACTTAACAGCAGGTGGAGTGGAGTCATTTGCCTGTCATGTATAAAAAAAAAAAAAAAAAGTGATTAAGACTAAACTTCGACTCCACCAGAGAGTTGTTGTCTAATAATCTTTCTACTTGTCTTTAATATCTTCGTTTTTGTAACTTACATATAACTACGAGGGGAGGTCCAAAAGTCCGCGGAATGGAGGGGTTGTAAATAATATAAAACAATAAGGCTATTTTTCCTTTTCAATATAATTACCTTTGAGCTCAATACATTTTTTAGATCTCGAAATTAGCTTTTCTATGCCATCGAAAAAATATTTTTACTCTTTGCTCTCAAAATGAGCTAACATTGCTGCCTTAACCTCTTCATCGTCGCGAAATTTTTTCCCACGTAATTCTTTTTCCAAATTTGGGAACAAATAATAATCGCTGGGGGCTAGGTCCGGGCTGTAAGATGGGTGGGACAGCGATTGAAAGCCACACTTGTGTAGAGCAGCCATCGCAACATTGCTCTTGTGAACCGGTGCGTTGTCTTGCAAAAGCAACACACCCTTTATCCATTTTCCCCGCCTTTTTTCTTTGACAGCTTCCTTCAGTCTCTCTAATGTTCTTGCGTAATATTCTCCCGTTATATTGACCCCCTTTTCTTTGTAGTCAACCAATAAAATTCCTTCACAATCCCAAAAACCGTAGCCATGATTTTTCCAGCCGATTCCGACACCTTAAACTTCTTAGGGGGTGGTGTACCCTTTTTATGCCATTGCATTGACTCCTGTTTGGACTCGGGCTCAAAGTGATGAACCCAAGTTTTATCTCCAGTAGCAATTTGCTCCAAAATTGGGGCAGGTTCTGCGCCACACAGCTCCAAGAAGTGCTTTGATGCATCGATTCTTTGTTGCCTTTGAGGCGGCGTGAGCATTCTCGGCACCCATCTTGCACTGACTTTCGTCATCCCAAGATGATCGTGTAGGATCCTCAAAATGGTAGTGTCTGATACTCCTACTAATGCAGACAGCTGTTTCTTCTTCAGACGGGCATCTTCCAATATAAATTTTTCGATTTTTTCAACATTGTCTGATGTGGTGGCCTCAACTGACCGTCCTGGGCGAAGATCGTCTTCAATTGATTCTCTGCCATGTTTGAAAAGACCGTGCCACTTGTAAATCATTGTTTTACCAGGGCACTGATCCCCATAAACAGTTTCCATCTCATTCATAATGGTTTGAGGAGGTTTTCCTTGCTTGGTAAGGAATTTGATGACAGCACGAAACTCGATTTGCTCCATATTTGCAGTTTTCTTCCGGATTTACTTGTTTGTAGGGCGATATCTCGTAAACTAATGGAGTTAAAAGGGTGAAGCTTGATATATATACCCCTAATGAGTATCTGATTAATACCACATCAAGCAAGCGTAATTAGCGGGCTCCCGCCCCCTCCATTCCGCGTACTTTTGGACCTCCCCTCGTACCATGTTTATAACTTATTTACTCATCATCCTACATTAAATGTTATTTGCTCATTACATATGCATATATGTTTGGCTTGTTTAACTGAAACTGACAATACTTTCTATATACTGTTCATATATTTATATTCTTTGTGGTTAGCGGTTGCTTCCACGCGTTGTATCTGATTGGCTATCGTGTCGTATTCTATTCGATCGCTATAATGGCTACTGCCTCTGTATGGCGAAATTGTCATCATATCGTGAGAAGTCTATTTATTGTACTATGAGTGGATGCGTGCGGCTAGTACCAACCAGGAGTTTTATCAGCGTAGGTGTGCACCGGATGTGAGGCTCCTTCGGAGACGGGAATTTTCGCTCCTGTGCACGACTTCGGCGTGAAGGAACGAACCCGAGACGTGGATGAGTGTTGCAGTTGTATGTTCGTAACATTCTACATTCAATGGGAGCCTGTGCGCGCACCGCAGTTCGGGGGATTGTGGCCACTTCGGTTATAATTTTGTGGGAATAGGTTGTTTCTATCGATGTTGCGAAACAGCTTAATATCACCGATGAGCTCTGCCTCACCCGCACAAGTAATTCGTATTGCCTTCACGTTGTTCCCGAAATGGTTCATGAGCGTTTCATCGATCATGACACGAGTGTACGTCTCCGACGCTCCGATCACATAAAAATACTAATATTGAGGCAGTGGCCTGCCGTGCTTACAATATGAAGAGTAGGTATATTTGAAATGTACATAGACTTACTGTTCTTATTGTAAGCACGGCAGTGTGCGCATTGTTCTTCTTGCATTGGCTCGAGACAGGCGCTGCGCCGGCGCGCGCGGCCACTGTGAACGTAACGAGCGTCTAGACGTACATTTGACTTACCCGCGCCCGCCGCCACTTTGAATAAGACCTTAGTCTTTGTGGTCGTCGTACTATCAGCTCGTACTCCCTGCAGTTTTTGATTAACCAGATAGTTTTTCTGCGCTCGGATGCACCGTTGACCCAGTTATTTCAATTATCGCCTAGTGTTTGAAAGTATCCGCCCTGTTCGGGGTCCGGGTTATAGTGCGTTTACTACTATAGCCTTTTTGGTTGGAGTTTTGCACACGGTTTTACTGATCCGCCGTGTCTCGTCTTCGGCCAGAATCACAAAATCACCCGTCGCCTTGTATGTATGTAGTGATCGAACATTTTCCCTCTGATAATCTGGGAGGTGTCGTCATCACACAGTGCAGCATTTACTTCCTCAAGTTTCGCCTGAAGCTGGCTTCAGAGCCGCTTGTGTAGGACTTACAGGATAGCGTCACAAGTATGGAGGCCAGCCACTTTGTCGCTTTGATGACTGACTT